CATCTAACTTTGAGTGGGCCCCTAGGGCTAGTTAGGGGTCCCTCGGGCTAGTTAGGGGCACCCAGCGCTAAATGGGGGCACCCAGCTCTCACCTGAGGGAACCTAAGGCCAATGTGTGTCGGTCACAGCTAAGTGGGGAGTCACCCATGGTTAACTGGGGGCACCCAGGACAAAGTGGGGTCACCCAGCACCAACTGGGGGCACTTAGCACTCCCAAGGCTATTGGGGGGCAACACTAACTGAGGGGTTCACCTAAGACTAATTAGGGGCACCCAGCAGTACTTAGGAGCACCCAGTGCTAAGTGAGGGGATAACCAATGCTATAGAGGGGGGACATCCAGTGCTAACTGGGGGGAATCATAGGATTAACTGGGACTCCCCAGCCATATGGGTAAGTAGGGCCAACTGGGGGCAGCCAGCACTAACTGGGAGACACACAAAGCTATTGGGGGCTCACTTCGTCCTAACTGGGAGAACCCTAGGACCGGCTGGGGTCACCCATCACTAACTGGGAATGCTCCTCACCCCGCTTCCTCCCCTTTCCCCCCGCCCCGCTCCACCCTGCCGGCGCTCCCGGTACCGGCGGCGCTGGCCGGGGGGGGCCGCTGTGCTGCATTGCGGGGCGGCACCGCGTCCCCGCCCGCCTCCGCCCGGCCCTGGGGGGGAGCGGGGCTATCGGGGCGGGCAGCGCCGGGCCCCGGGCAGGAATGTCCCTGCGCGCTCCGATAATGGTATTTATAGCGCGGCGCCCGGCGGCTCCGCTCCCCCCGCCCCGCTCCGCGCCCGCACTCGCCGCCCTTCGCCCTCCCGCAACCGCCGCCGCCCCGCGCAGGTGAGTGCGGCACCGGGGGGCGGGGGGACGACTGAGGGGGCGGTGGGGATGGACGTCCCCGAGCGCCCTGGGGACACCCAACGGGGGGTGGGGTTCCGCTCGGTGTCCTTGGGGGAGGATGCAGCCATGGGGTGCCCCGATGTGGGGCGTCCCGATGCGGGGTGCCCCAGTGTAGGGTGTTCCAGCGTGGGGTGCTGCCATTTGAGGTGCCCCGATCGGGGTGTCCCAATCCTTTGGGTTCGGTTTCGCTCAGAGTGGGGTGTTTTTCTCCATGCTCGCCGCTGCTATGCTGGGTTCAGTGCCACAGTGAACAGCCCCACTGTGGGATGTTGCTGCGGAGTTTTGGGGTCTCATATGGGTCTACTGGGTTGTGGGTGCCCCCCGCTCTAGAGAGAGAGCAGGGCTGAGCCCAGGCCTATTTATAGCTGGCAATGCACGCAGCGTGGCAGCACGTGTGTGTGCCACCGGCGGGCGACTGCAGGGACAGCGGGACAGGGACAGGCATTGTGGGGCCCCGGGGAGCTGTGCCGTGCCGTGCCATACCGTGCCGTGCCATGCCATTCTGTGCCATGCCATGCCATTCTGTGCCGTGCCATGCTGTGCCACTGATGGACACAGTGCCAACCCTCCTTCCACAGCAGTGCTCTGAACCCACTTTGGTCATGGAGATTTGGGGTGACGCTGAGTGTTGGCACCCCATAGATTCACTCTTTTGGGGTGAATGGGGATCCCATACGCTGCTGTTCTCCTGTACCCCTGTCCGGGATACCCACAGAGTGCGGCAGGGGCTCAGGGCACCAAGCAGCGGGATCACCGGGCACAGTGTGGGCACTGTGGTGGCAGCTCAATGCCAGCCCTGGGAAGTGCTGATTCACGGCACCGAGCAGCAGACTGGGAAGGCAGCAGGGGGCAAGTGGGATGCCCTACACTGTGACCCTACTGGGCTCTGTGTTTTCCTGGTGGTGGCAGAGGCAGATTTGAAGGGTCGGCGCTCCCTACGCTGTCAGTGTGCACTGGCGGCACGTTAGGGGCCTTGCCAGCATTGGGGAGGAGCAGGAGGATGCTGGCTGCCCGCTGGCATGGCAGATGCAGAGGCATGGCACTGCTCAGCAGCACGTGTGGGAGGGTTCCCACCTATGGGATTCCCCACGGTTGGAGTGTTTTTGAGGTACTGTCTGGCACGGTGCTAGGATGCTGTGTGCTCTGCTCCTGCATGCTCTGCATGTACACCCCTCCCTAGCCTCGCTCACACATGCACCACTAAGATTAGGGTACAGCACAGCACCCAGCCCAGCCTGGCTGGCCCCGATAACCCCCCCTGCACGCAGGTTTTTTCCCCCCAAAACCTTCACAGCCCTTGGGGTCGCCCCATGGGGGACACCTCAGTGTGCCATACAGGTGCTGAGTCCCAACTGGGCAAACCCCGTAGCACAAAGAAGGTGTGAGGATTTTGGGTGCTGGAGGTGACAGCCCCCAGCCTGGCTCCTCACACCCTTCAGGGGCCCCAGGGCGGCCTGCAGCTGCTGGCAGCATTTTTAGATACCGGCCGGTCCTATCTGTGGCTCAAATGTCCCTGAGGGCGGTCGTCCCCTCCCCGTCCCCCCTGAACCAGCAGCTGTTGCCTGCTGTCTGCCTAAAGCCCCTCCGGCGCAGGCGTGGGTCAGTGCCAGTCCCTTTGGGTGCCACCCATGGATGCTGTGGGACCCATATGGGGTGACA